GGTGAAGCACATCGCTGAGCACACACTCCGTGAGCACATAACCCTTGAAGAAGTCTTTTGAACGATTAATCGTCTTATCACAACGAAAAGGTGTCGCGAAGTATTCTTTGGGGGTTGGTTCACCCTCAACATTATCTAATTAGAAAATAAAGTCCTTTGAAAATTTTTTTTTGTAAATTGTTAAGTGTAGTGATTAGCTTTTCGTCTACCACGTCTGGTACCCGTATCTGTGTTTACAAATCTATCGACTGAATATTTAGGGCATAGCAAAACAGTATGCAAAATAACCGGTCCGAAATTTACGAATCATATATGATTTAAGCAGGTTGTTGTGGGTCCACATGACATGAATCATGTGTGGTTGATCACCTGTATCACCTGTAGTCCCGTTGATCGTCAAGTGCCTCGAGCGGGGGCCAGTAAATCTTCCATTTTTCCCTGTCGTGTGCTAGTGTAGCCCAGTGGATTCCGCTCGCTCTAGGGACTCGTCGAGCACCATATCTTTCTTCTAGACTCTTCGCGAAGAACTTTGACTGTCGTGCCGTTGGTCTTCCTGCAGTACGTTTGACATCCCGAGGAATCCAGGAAACTGCTCTTGTCCATTGGTTGTCATTCATACGCATTACGTGTCCGGCCCACCTTATCTTCAACTGTTTGGCGCACAGAACGGAATCTTTGATTTTTGATCGTTGCCGCAGGTCGGAGCTTCGGATTCCATCCCATACTTGTGTGGAACGGGATACTCCTAGCATCGTTCTTTCGACTGCGCGTTCGATAGCGCTGAGTGAACTTTCATCCTGCTTACGCAGCGACCACGTTTCTGACGAATACGTTAGGGCAGGAAGTACCATTGAGTCGAAAACGTGGGCACGGTGTCGGGTGTTCTTTGTTCTCTTCACGTCATCCTCGATGCTCTTGAAAGCACCACAAGCTGCTCATTTTCTTCTGCTCAGCTCTGAAACTAGGTCGTTCATCATATTGATTTCCCGACCTAGATAGATATAATTGAAGCATTTGGAGAAATTCGTTCCGTTGAGCGTGAATGGGGCATGAGAAACCAATCCGTTCTTCATGAATGTCGCTTTTGTGAGATTTAATCGATGACTAATCTTTCCACAGGCTTTATCAAAATCGTCAAGCATACGTTCCACTTGGCTAATGTTTGGTGATATAAAGACAATGTCTTCAGCAAAGTGAGGATGGTGTAACTGCCGACCATCGATTTTCACTCCCATGTTGTCCCATTCCAATGTTCGCATGACGTTCTGGAGGGTGGCGGTAAGTAATTTTGGTAAGACGTTATCGCCTTGCCCAACCCCTCTTTTGACGTCAATGTTAATATCGTTATAGAATGGTGATATCTTGGTTGTGAAAATTTTGTACAGCTCACGAAGAATCTTTATGTACTGAGTAGGGACTCCTTCACTATCAAGGGCTTCCAAGACTGCTTCTATCTCAACTGAATCAAAGGCCTTCTGTAAATCGATAAAAGTGAGACAGAGCGGTCTTTTGTACTCTCGCGATACTTCAATGAGCCGTGTTACCGTGTGGATATGGTCCATCGAACTAAATCCTCTTCGAAACTCTGCTTGCTCACATGGCTGTCCTTCGTCTAGTGTTGATTAAGGTGTAATTTTCTGGAGCCACCAATACATACTTTTTCCCCTGTTCCTCGTTGAGGTTTTGCGGTACGGGACATGCATTTTAGAATCTTACAATCGATTTCATTTACGCTGAAAATTTTCATTCTAAAGATTGAAAGATAATTTCGTAAAAGTTACTTACACCATCATAGCGGTACCGCGAATTCTCTTCGATAAGTATGTGAGATTCTCAACTCCTCAGGTACTATAGTGACCGTGAAATTACCAACGGTTATGGGAAAACAGCACAAATGTGGTGAGTTAATGGAAATGTTAGAATTTAATAATCCAATAAAATTCTCCCAATGGTTTACCGCCACATCGACGATGGGAGGTGTTCCTAGGTATCCAGCAGCGATGTAGAGCTGGAAGATTCATCTTCCTGACATGGTCTCCCAAGTTGCGAAAAAGTCCTTCGTTTTCATCAGAAAGCACAGCTAAGAGTAAACCAATGCCAGGATCTGTCACCATTCTGGTAACAAACTAGTCGCATGGTGGCAAATCTCCCTCTGATCCATTAGGGCTGTGACTGCCTGTGGTGGTGAAAGCCTGGGGCAGACTTTGGTACAGCTGACCTCGGTACTCCAGTGATCCACAATCGTTAAACCAGCACAACTGCAAAAAAATGGAGATTATGCTGGGGCCCACACAACCAGTGAGGATGGGTCGTCCAAGTATTCAAGGAAGTTACAGATAAAATACCAATCTCATAAAAAGAACTCCAAATCAATCACAGCAACTTCGGGGATTGGTGTGAACCATGTAAAATCACTCTGATTCATGAAATGAGGGCAAGATCAAAGTTGAATACCAATAGTCAGGTTAATAGCAAATCCGCCTAATCATGTTCAAGTATTTTCTTAACAATAGCACTTTTAAACAAGTTGTTCCTTTTTCGGGACGCTTACAGCGGTGTGATTAGGGGTGCTCCTCAACACATACCGGATCAGATATCGACTCGATCTCATGCCCCGAGCTCAGCGATCCGTCTGGGTTCAGCAAATTGTTCGAAAACATTGGAACTTGTTAATCAGTGCCTAAGGCAATAGAAAATCGGTTTTAATTTGGAGCTACCCTTTTCAATCTTCTCTTCAATGAAGAGGGAAATCTTTTGTAAGCTGATACAAGGTCATTAGATGCATGTGTCAGTGTTCACTTCTTTCACTCTGTTATTGATATATTTAATTCTAGTTTTTATTTTTATTCATTCAGTACACTTTTTAGTAAGTTATTTTGCTGTTTAGAGAATCTCAAATGAAACGAAAATGAAGGCGACGGCGTTCACACCAGTTTCGCAACACACGAGACGATCTCCAACGCAATGCTGAAATCACGTACGTCAATGTTAACGCTTGTATTACTTACACAATAGTGTCCTTAGCAACGCAATTTTGTTGCGCATTAAGATTTGAGTTAAAAGTTGCACCTTTTCAATTTCCAAGAAATCGCATTTCTCAGGAAAACAACTGTTCGTTAGTGTTAGGTCACAATATCTGCTCATCGCTATTTGTGCCATATATCCGAGAATCATGAAGGTCATAAAGTTAACAGAAGGAATTTAACAGCAGGACTTAAAGGAAAAGGATAAAGCTCTCGGCGTTGATCTATCCCTGAGGGATGCGTCATGCATTTGACTTCATTAAGTATCGTTGGAGGTGATTGGCCTTTACAATGGCTCACGGTGGCCTACCGATGTATCGAGTCAGTGCTGCTATCCTCCCAGACAAGTCTAGTACCAATTTTCCAACTCCGGAAGGATGGAAGGCTTGGTGGGCCATGGGCGCGGGGATCAATTCCATGTGTGTCGCAGTGGCGCCTCCAACCACTGCACCACACGCGACCAGCAAAACTTATAAGTTCGAAATTCTATGGGCAACAAGGATTGACCATGTTTTACAGTTTAAGTACCGGAAATGAAGAGATGTAGGAAAAGAACCAAATATGAACTAAAACTGGTCAAGTGAACGCGAACACATTAACCTTTCCGCAGCTAAGCTGCTGGCATTTCGAGAACAGACTTCTCGACCACTCAATCACAAGAGGATATCAGTAATTCGAAACTTTATGGATCTGTGGAGGAGACTTCGTTACACCGCAGTAACCACATTTGTGATTTCTACAGTGTTTCGTATCAGATTTTGAAGTCTAGAACTCGTATCTTCAAATAACTGAGAGCGGAATCTCATTTTTCAGAATTCTGAACGAAGCAGCGGTTGAACTGAACACAAGCGATGCACTGACACATCCCAAGCTGTCTTCCTACACGAAAACGCTCTACTTCAGTTGTTGTCGTGCCCGAAAAATGAGCTTTCAAGAATAAGGCGAAACAAATATATCTCATAGGCTGTAAAAAAATAAAGGTTTTTCGTAGTAAAACAAGAGAACTTCTTTTCTAAGGAAAATAATTTGCACACCCCAACAGTTTTATTGCAATTAGTAAAATGCACTATGAAGTGATCACACATGTTGATTTGGATTTGAACGCGTCCATTATTATTGTGTGACCTCCGTGGAGGTCACATCGTCTCGCAAGTGTTACTGAGTGAAACCGCCTTATACCCCCACATCAACATCGGATGGATAGTCTAACCTACTAGTACTTGGCCCAAAAATACCCCATCCACACGGATTGCTTAATCCAGAGGCAAAGAGCTAATTACACGCGTCGCGGCTTGTTTACGGGCGCGCGGTCAGCCGGGTAGCCATCGATTCGCGCGCAAACTGTTTGCACGCCTCTTCGCATGTCCCTGATATTCATCCGCATTCCTTAATAGCAGTGCAATCATAAAACTTAAAGCGCATTTTAGATCTCAGGTTGACTCTAGAGTACTAATCAAAATTAGTTTTCCATTGATTTATTTGTGCACTTCTGGCGGAAAGATCAAGCACGACTTCGAGTGCGCGCTCATTCTCGGCGTTAGGTGCGTTTGAATGGTTCCGCCCTAGATGGGCGGGACAATTTGGCTTGCACATCCCTATATTCTTCCGCACTCATTATTATTCCTTTTTGTAACTTTTTAAAATGTTTTGATGCTTGCTTGATTATATCTTAACATTTGTTCTAAGTGTTGGATTATTTTTTCAAATCCTTGAAAATGATAGAGGGATTTTTGTGGATATTGATGTGCGCGCTCATTGTGTGATATTTTGCACACCCCTTTTCTCATGCTACGTTTTCAACCGACTCAGTCTCAGTCTTGCTCTATGTTCCTCCGTACGTGGTTGCTGTCTTCATTTTTAGCCTCTTTGGTTGTCGACGTAGTTCATTGTTTTACGTTCATAATTGATCATTTAGAGGTACGTACACTACTTCGGCATTATTTTGTGCTTCTAGGCTCATATCTTCGACGAAAACTCATGACGGACAACAAGGACGAACTCGTGCAGAGAGCCAAACTCGCCGAACAGGTAGGGTTGTGCTTTGGTTTTGGGATGTATGTATATGCATGTGTGTCTGTGTGTGCGCGTGTGTATGTGCCGTCAATTCATGATGTGAATTTAGGCAGAGCGATACGATGACATGGCTCAGTCGATGAAGAAAGTCACTGAATTGGGCGCTGAACTTTCGAACGAAGAACGTAATTTGCTGTCGGTTGCTTACAAGAATGTTGTTGGTGCTCGTCGTTCGAGCTGGAGGGTCATCTCATCGATTGAGCAGAAGACTGAAGGATCTGAGAAGAAACAGCAAATGGCCAAGGAGTATCGCGAGAAAGTTGAGAAAGAACTTCGTGATATTTGCCAGGATGTGTTGGTAAGTTTGCTTTTGTTGTTTTTTTCTTCTAGTAGACTGCAACTTTTTGGCCTTCCTGGAAGTCTTGCCTTCATTTGCAGAATCTCCTGGACAAATTCCTAATTCCGAAGGCCGGAAATCCTGAGTCTAAGGTGTTCTATCTCAAGATGAAGGGAGACTACTACAGATACCTCGCAGAAGTGGCATGTGGCGAGGACAGAAGTTGTACGTTTTTAAGTGATAATTTGTCTTATGAATCTAAAGTTGGCAACGTAGTTCTCAATATGGAAGCGACAGAGCCGCGGTGGATGGCCGTGATTGGGAACATGTTATTGTTTTCTTGCGAAACTGTCGCTGTTTAGCGCAGTACTACATTATAGTTGTCGTTACTGTCGTGATTGCAGCAGTTGTCGAGAAGTCGCAGCAGTCCTATCAGGAAGCTTTTGACATCGCCAAGGACAAGATGCAACCCACTCACCCCATCCGCCTCGGCCTCGCTCTAAATTTCTCCGTGTTCTACTACGAGATTTTGAATGCTCCTGATAAGGCATGCCAGTTGGCGAAGCAGGTGACTTTTTTTCAAAATTCTAGCGGTGGCGAGTATCGGTCAAAGCAGCTACGCTGAAGCACTCGAGATTGCAAAAGAAAATTTGGCAACCACTCATCCAGTTCGCCTTGGCCTTGCTTTGAACTACTCTGTATTTTTCTATGAGGTTGCTTCCAGTCCTGATAGAGCTTGTCAGCTGGCGAAGCAGGTGTAATAATTTCTTGTGTGTTGGCAATACGTATTACTCAAGAAGTCCATATTGTTCTTCAGGCATTCGACGATGCCATTGCTGAACTGGACACCCTAAATGAGGATTCTTACAAAGATTCCACGCTGATCATGCAGCTGTTGAGGGACAATCTCACACTGTGGACCTCTGATGCAGCTGCTGACGATCAGGACACAGGGGAACAAGGAGAGGGTGCTAACTGAGCACATATGATCTTACCTTCTAACCCTATTTTGGCTGGTGGTATGCAACTAACCTAGTTTAGCTTTTTTTAACTTCAGTATTATAGTGCTTTGGTCACATTCATGCTTATTCGTGCCCATTATGTCTGAATAATTGTGTATGAGTCCAGCGTACATCTGGACATTGATATTACCACCAGCCTATTTCTACTCACCTACTCAGTTTCGCATACGTTTTTTTTTGTATACGGATGTGTTTGAGTAATGTAACTCCCCGTGCAATTTGTGAGTTTGTGAAGTGCCGCTGTTGTCCTTTCAGCTTTCATTATAATAAAGGTGCAGCAGTGGTGAGATAGCAAAATGTATGATTCAAGTTTTTGGTCGACTGTGTGTCGAACTAGTGATGTCGTATGCTGGAACAGCAGGTTGATGTGATTGGCTGAAAGGCGAGGTATGGTGTTGTTCGGAAGATGGTGATAAGATTGTTGTGGAGTGGAATTATTAATGCAGCACATTCCTATGATGAGTCAGTGAAGTTGGCCGTGGGTCGTTTGTGCTCTAACTGTTGATAGTTTCTGGTCTAGGCATTACGTCATACGGTTCGATGTTAAGGTGACGGTTCTAGAAACATTTCAATTCATCATGCTACTAGTTTAACACCAGGATGGTGGTGGATCTTGGTGGTGGTCCACTTTTAGTTGAGTTTCTTGATAGAAACGCCGCTCTCAGTTTGGGAGACCCTACGGGGAGATGGATCCCCCGCCGTACATCGCAGCTTGATACACAGGGACACTTCGCAGCCAGAATGAGGCGGGAAACCGTTGGGAGGGTCTCAGGACTAATAAAAACAATAAAAGCTTAAGAAAGGCTAGACGCACGACTAGTGTTGAGAAGCGAGAGAATAAAGTGGTGCTGGACACAAGCGTGCGGAATGCATACTACTTCACACAGTCGTGATTATATTTATTATTTACTATTACTACTCTGCTGGACATCACTTGTTTCAGTGTGAGGAGACCAGCACTTCCTATGTTTGATTCGTTTCCTCGCACCCACCATCCACAAAGGTTCTAAAGCTTTTTTTCTATAAGGTTCGGCTGGTGATTGAGGGTTTTTTCGTCTTCGCAAGACATGTTGATTGCTGGTCGAATCGATGCTTCCTGGAATCCTGGGATTGCCGCACTAAGACGTTCCCGTGTGGTTTGGAGAGATTCAGCTTGTCGTGGATTGGTCTGGTACCAACTTCTAGGATCCAGTGAATGAGAATCTTGGTCGGCCTGGGGCGGCGTCAGTTCTGCTTGTGGGTAATTTGGGCGGCCCTGGTAATGAACGGGATTACCTATCACTGCGCAAACGGTTCCCGATAGTCATGATCTTTTGGATATTTTTTCCAAGTAAGCAGTTTTCGCTATTTCTAGTGTTTCTAATAGCGGAATGGGAGTTCCATATTTTTCGATGCTTGCCCTTAAATAGGAAATACAGGACTAGATTCGTTTGACTCTTCTTTGCTTTCCATTTGAGTCTTTGATTCTTACAAATTTTCGACGTGAATACTGTAAATGTCGGTGAAGTTCTTCTCGACATCTAAGCCAACCACCAAGGGAGCTGTCCACTTTTTCAACACTGTTAAAGAGGTATTCAAATCGTCATTGCGGTGGCCATTTAACACCTAAATATGACAAGAAAAGTATGTGTATTACAAACAATGGTAAGGTAAAGGTCATTTTACTTCGTTGCCTGCCCGGTGCGTCACAATGGCGAGATCGTCACGGTCTGAAAATTGCTTTTCACAAGTGGTGAAAATGTGTTTACCGAAGACGCAGTGATTAGAGATCCGTGCAGTAAACGCGTAGTCCTGGGTTCATCCACGCTCCAGGCAAAACATTCCGTCTGCTTAGAATTGGCAAATTGGTAGTGGACTAGTTTGGATGAACGTCCATTTGATCCACAAAATCCGGCCATTGTTTGGGACGAGGATCTGGGAACGCGCTGTAGCAAGGCTGTACCAGAATTCTGAAGAGAATCAACTTTAGCACCATTCAGCACCATTTATGAAGAAGAATAGCACCCGAATTGCCATCGAAACCCATAGTCTAAATCGAAGGTCTTCGTTCGTTACGGATGTGAAACGAAGAACTGAATTTAAGAAATGCTGGGGACCGTACAGTATGTGATGTTGGGTCATGTAAATAAGTAGGTTGGCATGTAATAAGTAGCTCTTTTTAATTTCTGCCTTCCGAGGCAAAAATATTTCGGTCACACTACTTTTGTGGGAGTTGATGGTGTTCCGCCAAAATGTTGAAATAATGGATCCTGGAATGCCACTATAGAATTTTTTGGAAGGCTATTGTAAGTAGTGCTTATTTACTAATGTATGCTAAATCAATTATTAATTTCGTGTGCTTTGCATTGATGGAGTGGGTGTGTTTGAGACTTTGTGGTCTGACCATAGTTTTAGTCACAGGCACGTTTGTTCTGCTACATCCTTTTATCCACGAACGAGTCTCAATTGAAGAAACCGTGGTGTTCAAAGCTGTGCCACCTCTAGGAAGCCAAAACATTCTTTATTTTATGCAGAGATGATGACACGGTCGATATAGTTGTGTTAAATTATGGTAAGCTTGATATCCTCACTCACGAATTCTTAGATTAAACACCTACTTTTCCTTTTGATAAAGAATTCCTGTTTGGTGAACAGATCATCGGATAGACATTTCCATTTCCAAGCACTTAAGCCCATTATTGTTTTCATGAATGTATAAGAATTATACGGTCTGAAAATGGTTCTATGGATTAGCGTGAGTGGAAAAAGTGTACAATGAACGTCAAAACTCAGACCATTGGTTGTCATAGCACGAAAATGCGTCTCACTTTCCCTCTGTGTGTATGAGCTGTCTTTTGCCACTTTTTACGTAGCAGTCTCCGAACAGTGCTTCATTCGAAAGAGCACGGCCTGTTTCAGATAGACCACAACAGTAGCTCTTCGACCGCCTCTTTATTCAGTCAATTTCGTCCCAATGTTCAGTTTTTTATTTAATAACTATTATTCTTTTCATGGTAGGGTATTACGTGAATCTAGCCTGGGGTTCGAGTTTTGCAAATACCTCAGCGTCACTGTTGTTGTATTCCACATAAAGTCGTCTCATTTGTTTTCTCTTTCTAAAAGGTACCGTCTTCGTTGTTTAGGAAAAAAAACCACCTTTTGTGGAGTTACGATGATGTTGTGCTTTATAGATCAAATTTCCTTTTGAGTCAAGACATAATGGTGAGTTTTTTAACATATTAGACGTCTATGTACCGAGTACTGACAAGGACTTTATGCCATTCATCGAATGAGTCTAGATAACAGCACGTTCAGACGCTGAATAAACGTGGAAAACGCGAGGTCGTGGAAATATTAGCTGCAGAAAAAAAATTAAAATTTCGCGTTAACCACCTCATGCCAGATCGACAAAGACAATTAGTAGAAATGAAAAATGCACTGATTTCAAAGCGTTTTGCTTCCTTTTGTTTCTTCGGCCGCGCTTATTTTTTTGTGGTGATTTCTTCCTGGCGTGTCTCTTCTACTAACTCTATAGCTTCGCTACCACAGCTCTGCTGTGCGTGTATCGAGTGAAATCTTCCGTCCAGTACTGTTAATGATACAGTAATTCCTTGTTCATTGGGCAGACAGACTGATACAGAAGAGTGATGTTGATGAGGAGGAATATTAAGATGTTCTGGCTACAAGTGGATCCGATCATCTGCATTGAGTTAAGTGCAAACCTCACACGCGGAGGGAACAGGCATAGTCTCAACGTCCCGACTTTCGAAAATCAGTTCTCGTAATATGTTATAGGCGCGTCTGGCGCAGTGCTCGGAGGCGCCGTGCAATGCACATAGGATCGATCCCTGCACCCATGGCCCACCGAGCCTTCCATCCCTTCGGGGTCGGTAAATTGGTACAAGACCTGTCTTTGAGGATAGCATGACTGGCTTGATGTATCACTAGTCCACCGCGAGTCATTGTAATGGCCAGATGTGCATTTAATCACCTCCAAACGATGCTTAATAAAGTCGAATTCACGGCGCGTCCCTCAAGGATTGATCAGCGCAGGAACTCCATCCTTTTCTTAATGTGTTGTAGGGATGATCTAGTGAGAAGATCATCATACAGTTAGATGGAATCTTTAGAATCCGTTGGAGAATGGCAACATGTTACGTAGAACAGTTTAATTGGTTAGAAGTAACGACATTTTTGGAAGCTTTCAATGCTCTACTTTAGGTTGTTGAGCGTCTAGATTGTTATCGGGAGAACGCTTAAGTTTCAAGGACGAAAAAAAATTTCTGTACCACATCTCTTTTTATTGGTCGAATTATGTTAGGATTTCCACTCTATTCTTCACAGAAACCATGCATACACTGGGTTTTTTCCTGACAGTGGAAAAGTTTTGTTAAATTCTTCTCAGAATTTTCAACATTTAAGGCAGATTGAAAAGCTGTAACAATATATTCTGGTAAAGTCTTGGTTTACAAAGAGATTGCTCTTGAAGATTAGGGGTGGTTCGCGCTGCGGTAACGGTGCTGTTCAGCAAGCGAAAAACCGTGGTTCAACCCGTGTATGTGCCAAACCACCCCTCTCTCCTACTCTCCGTTCCCATTCCCCATTCCTCCGAGTTGGGAAAATTGAAACCAAACTTGTTTGGAATCATCGGGGTCTCCAATCCACAAAACTGGCGACTACACATAATGAAACCTTGGAAGGACGCAACATAGTTCACACTTTTCACAAGTGAAATGTGTGCTAGCTAGTTTTGTAATTACATAGTACACTCAAACAAAATTGGCAACCCGAAACTTTTCTCCTACGTGTTTTAGACTTTGAGCATCTGATTGGATTCTATTGCAGCAAGTTACTAATTTCAAAAGTTCCTCAACGTTTAAACTTTTTATTTGTTAACATTGACGAAGAAAACTGGAGAATCCGCTAACATATTAATGAACTGGCAGCACTAAACACCATCTTATTAGACGCATCACTAAATCGCTATAAGTATTCATGTTTAGTCACGATGGTACTGGCATATGTTTCTTGATTCTGCAATATATGTGAGGTGTTTAGTTATTTCCATGTGTTTTCTATCCTGTCATTCCACACGATAGGTCTGCTTTATCATAACGGTTGAAAAGCAATGAGTAATACAACACTGGTTTATGTTGACGAAAGCAGGTTTAAACTTCAATTCCGATCGATTGTTCATCGAGAGTAAACATGAAGAAGCTGAAGACGGAGAGAATTAGGGGGTCGCATATAGCGTCGATCTGTCTGAAACGAACTGGAAAATGACAACGAAGGTGCTTATGATGAAGTCGGTGGTGAGTGTTCGAACAGTGTAGTGATCATGACCAGTAGATCTTCCAATGAAGTTAATGAGCGGGATCGACTGGTTCTACTTGGAGATACAGAACCAATACATCTTAGTGAACTTTCCACTACTGATATTTGGGATCTGATAGCTAAAGAGGTAAACATAACAGTTACTGAAACGAGAAAGAATCGTTCTGCAAACCCACAGCAATTTAGGAGATGAAAATATTCAATATGAAATATGAGAAATAAAATGTCATCGGTCTGTGCCATTAAATGGTGATTATTAGAATGTTAAGTGTAAGGAAAGAAGATGTTGGATAACCGGAATAGGGTGACAATGCAACGTGTAATGAAAAAGGAAACTGTACATTATAAGTTATCTAAGCGAAGTTGGATACATAAGTCTGTGTGATTGTGGTTAGAGGCGCCACTGCGATACACGCGTGGAGTCGATCTCCGCGCCCATGCCCCACCGAGCCTTCCATCACTCCTGGATTAGCAAATTGGTACCAGACTTGTCTGGGAGGATAGCAGCACCGGCTCGATACATCGGTAGGCCACCGCGAGTCATAGTAAAGGCCACAAATGCATTCAATCACCTCCGACGATACTTAATGAAGTCGAATGCATGGCGCATCTTTCAGGGATTGATCAACGTCAAAAGGTTTATCCTTTTATCCTTAATGTTAATATGAGAGAGGCACATCACTCATCGATGTGAACTTTGTGCAGTTTGGTCTAGATGTGAAATACTTAGTAGAAGACTAATAGGAAGCGATGAGAATTCGAAAAAACTTTCGCTTTCAATGCGACTGAAAACTAGATTTGGTCTTTTTCCGTTGGGACAATTTAGGTGTTTGGCTCACTAGATTACGGTCAACTTGACCTTTCCAGGCTACAAAGAGGGCAAAATATGCCGAAACGTCCGCTTTTTTTGTGAAAAAATAATGAAGTAACAACTCATATTTGCTTACGAGGAAAACAGCAAATTATCAAAGCCATCTTTCTATAAACGATCCATCTTCACGCATGCTGTGAGGATCCCAGTATTTCTTGCATTCGAATCATTTCCTCGAATCCAACATCCACGTAGGCCCTCTAAATTATACGTGTGGCTTCCTTCAACTGCTGCTTGAGGATTTTCATTTCATTTTGAGTGCCGTAGAATGTTCGTCAGGTCAGTTTTCTTTGGAGCGATGGAATGGCCGAGCTAGAGCGTTCTCACTTGGGTCGCAGAGAGTGCGTTGTTCCCAAACAAATCTGGTACCGATCTACCGATCCCAAGGGATGAGAGGCCTAGTGAGTCCGGTGATGGGTGGAACCAGCACTGTGCTCGTAATGAGATTGTGGAAATAAGTGTGAAGAACTAGCTTAGGTGTTCCGGAAGGTACACTGCGTAGAAACACATTAATGGCGGGCACATTCTGAGCCCATGTCGTAACCTCAACGTACAAGTATAGCTGAGACTCGTTAGTGATAACTTCACTAGCAACGTTATTACCAGAGGTTCAACAACACACGCAAACTCCTAACAGTTCTTTTACACTGTAAGGATAACGGATGAAGCTCTCGGAGTTGATCAATCACTGAGGGATGCGCTGTGCATTCAGCTTGATTAAGCATCGTTTGGAGGTGATTGAATGCATATCTGGCCTTTAAAATGACTCACGGTGGTCTATCGACGCATCCAGCCACCAGTGCTGCTATCCTTTCGAAGAAACCTGGTACTAGTTTTCCTGCTCTGGAAGGGTGGAACGCTTAGTAAGCCAGGGGCTCGTGCATCGATCCCACCTGAATTGTAGGCCGCCTCTGACCACTGTGGTACGCACGACTTTTTTACACTATAACGTCCATAGTGCAGAGAAAACCTTTCGCACCAAAAGAAACAATCGTGAAGAAATTTTACTGAGAACAAATGTGCATCAACCGTTGAGCACGCCACGTTTGCATATCGTCGCCAATATGTTGAACACGCTGACCTCGACTACATTCCACCATGTTTTTAGTCCAAATCCATCAAATGATACGCTATATCACAAAAACGTGCACCTCATGCCTCAGAGACGTGGTGGGTTGACAAATGATCAAAGAAAAACGAAGTGATCAATCAGCAACGAGAACAACTCAGGAGATGCTGTTGTCGTAAACGTTGATTCAAGAATATAAAGTCCCACAATGCAAGGTTATGTAGTCGGATAGTTCAGAATAGAAATTTGAGAATGTACAGTCGGACACCTGAGATTTGTTAGCCACCACAAGATAGGACTTCTCACTGCCTGTGATGCATGTGAATTTTTGGATAACTGGCGAAGGCGCCGAAACTAGCCCTCGTGCTATGTTATCAAACTACCAACATCATTTTCCTGCAAATGGAAAACATCTGATTCTACGTGATTTTGGGAATGCTAATTCGGAAATGAGCACAGTGGCCACCGACTGCTGATGCCTACCGTCATACCATCTACACTCAGTCCTTTTGTGAACCAGTTTTCAAAGTTTTTCTAAGCAGTGTGCACAACGTTTGAAACCAAAAGTTGTGGTAGTGGATAGAGTTGGGTAAGAGCGAAGTAAGCGTTTTGGTCGTTGGATCTTTCTAAAAACTCTTAACCAGTAAGTAGTAATTGATTTAGTATGACACATAGTAGTGGGATGCTTTTATGCGTGCTACAAGGACACTTCGACGTCTGCTCACATGGAGTGTTCGATAGGGTCAACTTGGCAGAAATACTAGCTTTGTGATTTTTGTTTCAGTTGATCGACATCATGCGGGTTTACTTAGATTTAGTTCATACATTTTCGTGGATCTTGCAGAAATGAGGGGAATTTTTCTGAGATCTATGAATTTTGAAGCATTCAAGCTTCAAACCCTGTACGCCAACTGATTTTAGCTGTTGATTGGCACTAGGAAACTCCCCAAGTTTAAGCTGTAGATCAAGAAACCAGTTCGATTCGCTTCAGAATAGTCGCATTTTCAATGTCAGAGATTCTCCGATAACTGCCTTGTCGACCGTGATGCTCGGTACCATATCATGTGGACTGTTTTAGTTTATTTTCTAACGTTCAACCTTTCCACATTCGTTCCCCCTGTCACTCAACCAGAATGCTACTCGAGGATTTCTGTACGGTCGGTTCGAACTAAGCCACGCATTGCTTAATCCGCACGGTTAGCCTTCCGCGTTATCAATGCCACTATTGCGTAACGTGCTGCGTCCACTCTACTCAAACGGACGGCGAGCACACCAGATGACGACCACCTTCCGACCTGCGGAACGCGTGCGGTCAGCTAAACCCAATATTTGGTGAGCTCTTTTTCCCAGTAAGAAGTAGATTCATCATACTCTTAAAAAACCATAGCTATGGAAGTTTCATACACCTTGCGTCAGGATGTATTTCGCTTAGATAACATTTTACAGAACAAGACTGGAAGTCAGAAAAGTAGTACTGTTTAGGTTGTTTTATTGTTTGCAATTGAACTAGGTTTGTAAGCCTTATCAAAAACACAACATTTTACGGTTTTCAATAGTTTGGGACTTATTGTTGCTCCATGTACTGTTACCCTATCTATTCTAACATTATCAGCGCAACATGAAATAGATTTTTTTTCCAGGGTAGAGTTTACGACTCTCGCAGCCGAATGTAACGCTGTAAATCTTGGGCAGGTTTGTGCTTCTACTTACTTTTAACTCTCACTTTCCACATATCTCTCGTAAACAACTTTTAACGAAATACTGAATTCCTTACAATCTTCATTTTCGAGCCAAATCATAGTTTTTAGGGTTTCCCAGACGGGCCTATGCCGATGTTCATGTCTGATATACTGAAGGAGGTTGCTGCACATCCAGAGAAAACAGCATGGCATCAGTACACCCGAGTTGAGTTTCCGTCTGCTCTCTTATATCTGAAAGTATTCCCGTGTCCTATTGTTTCTCATTTCAAGCTTCGGGCATCCTCGTCTTGTCAACGTACTTGCGAAATTATATAGTGGTCTCTACTCAAGGCAAATCAGTGCCAACGATGAGGTAAAAAATATTGTCCCCATGGTCTACTGTTGCTAACCAGAACAAGTATTAAGGTAGTATTTTGTCCCATTGATTTCAGGTTCTAGTCACTGTTGGTGCTTATCTGTCGCTGTATTATTCATTTATGGGATTCATTAACCATGGAGACGAAGTTTTGAGTAAGGTTCCGTAATGTAATAGGAATGAATCTCATCAAAAGTGAAAAAAAATGTGAAATCACGACATAATGGATGTCTGTAACAACATAGTTCTCCAAACTTGGATTTCAAGGATACAGCATACAGTTTACTGTCCGTTCAGTTTTGTTTTGCATTCACCGCTTTCATCAATCTTGTTGTTTTGGCTTGAACTCTTTCTGCTTCCTTATTTCTTACTGTTTTCCTATTATATTTAGCTCATATCTTCAGAAATTTATGTTTTCGATGTTTGAAGATATTGATTATTTTCACGCCGAAGTCAAAAGGCAGAGAAAATTATGGGCGGGTTAGGCTAAAAATCGATAGAACGGAAAAAATATCCAACATCTGGATACGTCGTTGTTGCGTGAATATCTGTTAGTATATAGAGGGCGCGCGAAGGAAGAAAACACTACCATTACGTTTTTCTCTGGTTTTTCTGAACAAATGAGCTGTTTAATTTGATTTCAAGTTTGTCCTTATATTGCAGTAATCGATCCGGCTTATGA